CATAAGGGAATTATTTGATTTAAAAAAAATTATAATATTGTTGTATGCTCAAGGGGATGACTCCCCGATTTAAAAATGGTTTTACTTGCCCAGTGTTGGAACTACTCCATTAAAAAAATATTTATGCATGCTCAGGGGGGGGGGGGGGCTTCCCGATTAAAAAATGGTTTTACTTGCCCAATGTGGGAACTACTTGATTAAAAAAAAAAACGTTTTGCATGCCTAAGGGGGAAATTGCCCCTTTTGAAAAATGATTGTACTTACTCAAAGAAGGAGTTCTCCGATTTTAAAAAAAATAAGCAATAAATTAACTCCCCATACTGATTTAAACAAAAGAACTTATCATAATCATATTCTTTGTGCGTGATAATTTTAATATACCGCTATGACCAGCTGTAATCCATGTATCAGTCAGTGTCTATAAAATCAAACGTCCACTTACGTTTAGTTCGTCTGCAGAAGTAACTCACCCGAAATAAGAACAGCTTTTAATGATGTATTTTCCTATGTCTGACCATTAAGATTCTCTCACTTCTGCTTTCGTAAAACCAATGATAACATTTTTACCTGTACGAAAATAATTGCTAAGATTTTACGTTCTTCATGTAAAAAACAACATTATTATTTTACCTATAGTGTTCTTCATGTAGGAGCAACGTTAACATTTTACCCCTAACAATATTCACGTAGGAGAAATGTTACCTGTAATATTAATTATGTAGGAGCAATGTTAACATTTTACATTTAACATTATTAATGTAGGAGCAACGTTAACATTTTACCTTCAACATTCTTCATGCAGGAGCGACGTTAACATTTTACCTGTAACATTCTTCATGTAACAGCAGTGTTAATATTTTACTTCGAATAAATAAGTAGTATTATTGATTTTCTTCAATTTCACCAAATCAAGTAAAAATGTTCAGACTTTTTTTTATCTTTTAAGATTTTTCTAAGTCCTGAAAAACAGTTCAAATAAGGCATTCTGATGCGTTGCAAGTTCTGCCTGTAAATATCAATTTTATTATCAAACATCTATCGTTTAAAAATGTTAGTAAACAAGTGTTAAATCATACATAGCACACAGGTATCAAATACCCATCTTCGAAGATTTTGAACGTACTAAGTGCGTTTTTCGTTTTCTAATAAAATACAAATATTTATTCATTAACTTTGGGGAATAAACGTAAAGTCTGGATTTCAGTGGATATATTATATGTTTTTTAAAGAGAATACGTAGTAACGGAGAAAAAAAAAAGGAGAGAAAATATTCCAGTGATGATATGATGTTAAAATGACCCTAAGAAAAAAATATTAAGCATTTTGACTATGGTTTTTCATCTGTTTTATGACAGAAACCAGCCTACAGCAAAGTGTGGTTGCTATTATTATTGTTGTTAGTTTGGATAACCACACTGATTCAGGAGAGTGAATCGTTGGATATTTGGAGTCGAATTATACTCTTTCTCTTTCATCTCATCTGTTTACAGAAAAGGCTTAAGCTTGTTGAGGCCTGACGTGGACACTGTGAATCCAGGTACTCATGGTTCGTGTCCCGTTGTCTTAAAAGCACGCTCTGCAATTTGGGGCCGCGGGTTAAGTCTCACTATTCGGTCAGAAAGGAGTAGCCCATGAGTTGGTGGTAGGTTCTGTTGACTAGCTTCCTTCCTTCTAGTCTGTCTATTTAAAATTAGGAACGTTCATGCGCAGATAGTCATTTGTGTAGCTTTATGCGAAAATTATGAATTATTTCGCTTCTTCAGCATTGAGTTTAAACATCTCAACCATGGTGGTTAAGCAGCCTAATTATTTCGCTTTTTCAGCATTGGGTTTAAGCATCTCAACCATGGTGGTTAAGCAGACTAATTATTTCCCGAAATATTTCCAAATAGTATCATAAGTTCGAAATACAATAGCAAGCTTTATGTGAGGGTTTTATGTAGTTCATTTTCTTACTGAACCATATTTAATGAAAATACTGATATTAAATCGCAGTAATACTCAGGTAGAATTATTTTTAATTACGTTATGTAAATACAGTCTACTTATATTTGATTTATTTTCACAGTTAAAAATTACACGAATAAATTATTTTGATAAGTTATATTGACAAATTTCTGTTTGATTTTATAGACACTGACTGATACATGGATTACAGCTGGTCATAGCGGTATATTAAAATTATCACGCACAAAGAATATGATTATGATAAGCTCTTTTGTTTAAATCAGTATGGGGAGTTAATTTATTGCTTATTTTTTTTAAATCGGAGAACTCCTTCTTTGAGTAAGTACAATCATTTTTCAAAAGGGGCAATTTCCCCCTTAGGCATGCAAAACGTTTTTTTTTTTCTAAATCAAGTAGTTCCCACATTGGGCAAGTAAAACCATTTTTTAATCGGGAAGCCCCCCCCCTTGAGCATGTGTTTAAAAGTGTATTTAAAAACAACGAATATTGCAGTGATGTTGCTATATTTTAATTACAATAAGGTGTTGCTAGGAAGTTATATATATATAGCGTACAAAAATACAATAATATTCATTAATGAAAGTCTTCCTAAATACAGTATTAGTACTTAAGCAAATATTTCAGCAATTTTGTGTAATAAGCAATTTGTTTTGCTAAGGCACCGACAGCTGCATCACCGGATATACAAGAAATAAATATATTTTGCGGAAGGAAGTGGGTAATAAAAAGGAAACAATAGATAAATGTAAATGTTACATAGTTTAACATACAGAGAGGGAGTTTAAAAGGCTTTAAGGTAAAAAAACGCGGGTAGTTTTACATTGTTAAGTCGGTCTTGTTCGAGAAAGCTTTATTGTAGAAACTGAAGAGTATCCTAGATGATAAGAAACCGGAATTTTATGATTTTATATATATTTGTAATTTCATTTATTTATTTATTTTAAAGAATGGTAATAATTAAAGTTTTTAAAATATTTTAAAGTCATTTTTATATTGTTTCATTTAAATATAAATATATATTTATATAAAGAAAGATGGCGTTCATAATTACGATATTTTCTGAATTTTTCGCTATACATTTTAATATTATTATCATCGGTTCATTGAAGAAGGAAAGAAAATAGGCAATTGCTCTAGTTTTCTTCTTCTTTTTTTTTTGCCTACATTTATTACCTCTCTTTAAACGTGGATACGTTTGAAACTTAATATTGGACATGCGTGATCTAGTGCTTAGCATACCAGGCCGTGGGTCGTTAGGTCCAAGGTTCAAACTGCGATATGCCGATGAGCACGCTCCGCACTTTTAAGTGTAGGGACGCTATAATCGTGACAGTCAATCTTGCTATTCTGTTAATTATCTTTTTTTTTTAATTTTGCGCAAAGCTACACGAGGTCTATCTGCGTTAGCCGTCCTTAATTTAGCAGTGAAAGACTAAAGAGAAGCTAGTCATCACCACCCACCGCCAACTCTTGGACTACTATTTTACCAACGAATAGTGGGATTCACCGTCACATTATAACGCCTCCAAAGCTGAAAGGGCGAGAATGTTTGGTGGGAAGGGGATTCGGTCCTGCGACCCTCAGATTGCGAGTCAAGCGCCCTAACTACCTGGCCATGCCGAGCCTATTCTGTTCAAAGTTATGGATTATGAATGGCTATGCCTGACCCTAGGGGTGAGTCTCTGATCTGGCCGTTAAGCTTACGTTTCTCATAATGTTCTGTTAAGGTTGAAAATATAAAAAGTAATCACTTACATTTTAAATATTATTAATAATAGACGATTTATTCAAGCTAACTGTAAAACTCGGAACTTAATTGATAGGTATAGGAGATTTTTAACATTTATTAAGCGATAGTTTATTTTTATACAATAAACCAAGTCGAAGCTATTATCCAATTTAAAACCATGATCGTAATGAAATCCTTTCTACGACGACACGACAAAGAATATTCTCCGGTCTAAGATAGAATACAAAATTCCTAGACAAAAACATTCTCCGCATTCCGCACCACGTGAAACAGATAGCCGACACGGAAGAAAATTGGTCAGTAAGGAATAAAAAAAAAATGCGTTATGTCCTCAGGCTGAGAGCACGGCATGATCTTTTTGTGGCCTTGAAATAAAGCAAAACGGAGGTATGCTAAGGATGTGGATCTCGAACCATTCAAGCGAAACGTTTTAGAGATAACCTACTGAAAGAAACCCGCGAGAGAAAGTGAAAAAAGAAACAAAGAGAAAACGTCCCGTTTAAGACACATGGGGTTACTTCAAATGAAACCATTTGTCTCGTTTTTGAATTTTTTTTAATAACATATTACATAATATTCATTGTATGTATGTAAAGAGTTCAAAGTAATAACACAAAAACAAGGTCTTTACTCTTGCTGCATTTTCAACCATGTAATAATGTACTCTGATCCAAACAGGCCCACTGCACATAGTAGTATAACGCCAAAAAGTATGGTTTACAACTATTACGAGATGGCAATCAGTGTCACAGAAATACACACAACTTCCTGAGAAAATAGAACATGCTGGAACACAAGGAAAGTTAGTGGTACAAAAATATTAAGTTTTTGTTCTTTATCAACGTAATGTAAAATAATTTGTTTCTTAATTTTGTGGGCTTGGCGTGTTACTGTTCCAGACTGTGGAAAAAAGGTCCTAGGTTCGAGCCACGATATGCCATTTAATACGCTTCACACTTTCGAATGTAGAATCGTTATAATTATGGCAGTCAGTCCCCAATTTGGTAAAAGTATCTGTACAAACTAAGGCTTTTCCAATTGTTCGAAATAATTCTAATTACTAGAGACAGCTATGTCTGAATCTTAAGTGTTTTTTACCTGGACGTTAAAGTCCATGTGTCGCATGAGATGTTCAGGTTGAAAATACCAGTATTCAAATACATGGTTTGGCCATGCTTTTGTTACCTTCCTTACATATGAACTTAATCTAAAGCAATTTTAATTCTGTGCCAGTTGTTGTTGTATATATCATTGTCCTCCAGTATAAGATAATTCACGGGAGAGTAGAGAACCAGGATCTTCCAGCTCATTGAAACAATCTCATTACAAGTGATCACACAACATCCAGTTATTTGTGGCTGTTTAATCCAAAAATGTTTACAATACTTTTTTGGTGACTATGATAATAATAACATTAACCCCAAAAACACGGAGCTCGCGCTCTCCCTCTTTTTGTTGTAACAAGGCTTCAAAAACTGCCCAGGATTTTAAAATTCACATTTTTATATTAAATGAAATCGTTATTTTTTTCATTTCCATCAAAACAATTTGAACAACAGTTTCAAGTATTGTTTGTTAGTGGTTAAAGTTTGTGTGTGCAGGTTTGATATTTACTGATATGAAGACGTTTCCACGGCGACAGAGTTGAAATCTTTAGTTCACGTTGGTATACAAACATTTTTCAACGGTTATTATTTTGTATTCTTTATACATTCTCATGCCTTGTTAACACGTGGACTGTAGCGTGTGTGGTCTATTTCCTAGATACTTGTAAAAGAATTATTAGCAAGCTTACTTCATTTAAACTTTTTACTATTTATTACTTCATCAATTAAACATTATCGTTAAAATGTATATGATCGTAATTTTTAGACGGCACTTCAAAAACTGCTGACTCATCATTTTAAAAAACATAACATATCCTAGACTTTTTATCAGTCGGTTTCAGTTCTATGCTCTTTTTGCGGTGTCTTACATAGCCGCTAGCATGACTTGCTAGAATGCAGCTGTTCAATATGCAATTACAAATTGTTTCAACTGTCATAATGAATTAAGCCTCTTTGACCGCTCTAGCTTAGGCAAACAATCAATGTGTAAATTGTAGGGCGTAATTTCGCTCTTTTTTTAAATTTTTTATGAGGTTTAAATTTTGATTTTCAACTCGTATTACTCGCTATGAACGTTTTCTTATGCTCGTACCTAACCTGATATACCTAACCTATATCTAACCTAACCTTATACAAGGAACGTGCGACGTTTGCGACTGTTAAGTATCAGTCCTAGATTAATAACGACGAGGATATTTTAACAACTTAGGAATTCATTCTAATCTGGAGTATGTATTTACAACTCGACTCTTGATAAAAGATATGTTTCCTGAATATGACATGAATTCAAAGTGATATGCTGTTCAAGTATCGAAAAATATTTTTTATTGGTTAATTTTGTATTCTGCACATATTGAAAAATGTTTTTATTGGTTAATTTTGTATTCTGCACATATTGAAAAATGTTTATTTTTAAGATCTCTAACAATGTGACGAACTTTTGCTCCTACCCTATACTGAGCCCCCACCCCGGAAAGGCTCAGCGGTAAACTTGAGGGATTATAACGTCTATAAAGCAATGTTCGATTCCTGCGATGGGCACATGCAATTAGCTCATTCCTTAGCTTTAGGCTTAACAAATCAAACAAACTATTAAATAGGGTTAAAGTATTTGAATACTGATAAAAATAACAGCGTTATAGCCCTTATTTTTATAGCCCCACCATTGGCTCAGCGGCTTATAACGCTAAAAACCGGGTTTCGATACTTGTGGTGGGCAAAACACAGATACCCCACCGTGTAGCTTTGTGCTTAATTCTCAAACAAACAAAGACTTTTTATTGTATCCAACCAAACTACGTCCACACTGCCTTGTATACAACGTTCCAACGATTATTAACCAAACTACGTCCACACTGCCCTGTATACAACGTTCCAACGATTATTAACCAAACTACGTTCACACTGCCCTGTATACAACGTTCCAACGATTATTAACCAAGCTACGTCCACTTTGCCTTGTATACAACGTTCTAACGATTATTAACCAAGCTACGTCCACATTACCCTGTATACAACGTTCCAACGATTGTTAACCAAGCTACGTCCACACTGCCCTGTATACAACGTTCCAACGATTATTAACCAAGCTACGTCCACACTGCCCTGTATACAACGTTCCAACGATTATTAAC